GCCCATCAACAGTTGGGTAGCAGACACACACAGGTTACTTGGTTCCACTCTTTGCTGCTATAGCGAGTCATACTGTATTACTGTTAAATCACACTGTTTCTATATTTGCATCTATACCTATAAATTGGCATATGCATATCTGTGTCCCCCTTTGTGCTGTCTTTTGGTGATGTATTTCCTCTTTTTTGGTGAGGCACAAGTAACCACCCTAGGTGCAGTATTCATACATCAATAATTATGACAATTAACCCAGCCATACCACACGGATGCAGGTGGCGCAGTGGTTTAAACTGCTGTGCTGCTGGTCTGGTTGATCGAAAGGTCGCCGGTTCGAATCTACACAATGGGGTGAGTTCCCGTTGCTCCATCCCAGCTCCTGCCAACCTTGCAGTTCGAAAGCATGCAAATACAAGTAGATAATAGTACCACTTCGGTGAGAAGATGACAGCGTTCCGTGCCTTCAGTTTAGTCATGCTGGCCAAAGCCACGGAAACAAACGCTGGCTCCCTCGGCTAGGAAACGGAGATGAGCTCCACCCCTTAGAGCCAGTCATGACTGGACTTAACGTCAAGGGGAAACCTTTACCTTTACCACCGGGTAGTATCTACTAAACTCTGCATAGTGAAGACAGAGAAGGCTGGAAGGAAACTGTTCTGTCTCTACCCATAAAAGTATTCTTCTGAAGGGAAGTTTATATGTGCATGCATATTCTGTACACTTATGCATAACCCATTACATTACCAAACTGGCTATATCATACACACAGGATCTTAAACTCAAGATTGCCAGTATGGCATAGTGGTTAGAGCGATGGACTGGGACTTGGCAGACATGGGTTCTAGTCCCCATGCAGCCGTGGTGCTCACTGAGTGGCTGTGGGCCGGTCATAGACTCCCAGCCCAACCTACCTCACAGGGTTGTATGAAAACAAGAGGAGGAGGATTATGTAAGCCCCCTTGGGTTCCTTAAAGGAAAAAAATGCAGGATATAAACATAATAAATAAAAATAAAACAAAATAAGTCATGCAAGTAAAAAGAAACATCAAGATTATTGGTACAATAAATCGTTTGTTTTCAAATACCTATTTGATATTTTCTAAGTAGCTTCTTCCAAGTTCCCAAACTTTTGTTGTTGTTGTCATTATGTTTTTGTTACTATGAGAAAAGATGTGTCTTTGTAGTGATAGTAGCTGATGGATCTTTTCATGGATTAAGTCTGCTTTATGCTCAACTCAATGATCTGTGAAATACATCTTGACAAAATAACATCAGTAACGCCAGGAAGATACTGGAGCTGACAACACTTTCACATTATTATCTCACCTTTTACCTTTGGTTTTTGAGCTCTGAAAATGTTCAGCTGATGCACATGTGTCTATCTTGCATGTGTCAAATGGATTGCATGCTTGGTCCACTAAAAGGAGCAGCAGATGCTGTAGTTCTACAGCACAGTGTTATGTTGGTTGTTGCTTTTCTAGAGCTTTTTTTTTTTTTTTTTGGCTTGCCCATTGAAAGACAACTTTCGTAGAAATGTTTGTTTCCTTTGCAAAAAAAATGAATTGCATCTGTACTTTTGTGTAGTTCATTATTGATCACCATTCTGAAATTCTTTGTAGAGCAGTGTCAGAGTCTAGCCTGGTCTTTGTACCAACTTAAAAAAGATTCTAGTGCTCAGCAACAGCTTTTGGGCTTCTCATGGGGGAACAACTGCCTTATGAAGAAAGGTTACATTTGTGACAGCTTAGAAAAGATTCCATCAGGGAGACATAATAGAGGGTACAAAATTATACATGGCATGTCAAAACTGGATAGGGAAAGATTTCCCTCCATCTTTTATAATACAAGAACCCAGTGGGGTCACCCAAGCAACTGACTGGTGGGAGATGCAGGACAGATAAAAGGAAGTACTTCCTCATAGATCACTTAAATTATGGAAATCACTACCACAAGATATTCTAATGACCAACAATGTGAAAGCTTTAGAAGGGGATTACACAACTTCATGGAGGATAATGGCTACTGATGGCTATATATTACCTTATATAGATGGCCATGTACACCTATTGCTGGTATTGCATTCATGGCATATTTGTGGACTTCTCACAGACAGCTGGTTGGCAGCTGCAAGAACAAAATGCTTGATGAGATAGGTTTTTGTGCAAGCTCTTCTTATGTTCTGGATGATTTTTAAAACTTTAAAAATATTTTAATACATTCATATCCTACCTTTATTCCATTATGGAACAAAGGGAACTATTCTGAAAAGGCATGTATATAGGAGCTATTTCAGAAAAGCATGCATGATAATCTCCCCAAATTCCAAATGAGTCTATTGACCCAAAAATCTTAGGGATTCAAGGTCTAAAGGTCTTTCAACAGATTCTGGTACCCTTCTGGATAGGCTGTCTAAACTGGGATTTGGAGGTATTGTATTTCACCAATTCTACTCCTACTTGGATGGCTGATTCCAGAAGATGGAGCTGAGGGATTATTGCTCTGTCCTTTGGACCCTGTGCTGTGTAGTCCTGTTTTTTATTTTATCCCTCATACTGTTTAATATCTAACCAAACCTGCTGGGAGAACTTATCTGGAGGGGTGGGCTGAGGTGTCAGTAATATGCAGATAAGACCGGCTAGATCTCTTTTTCATCAAGTCCAGGTGAAGCAGTGGATAGTCTGAGTTAGTGCCTGGGTATGGTAATAGGCTGGAAGAGGGTTAATAAACTGTGACTCAATCCAGACAAGATGGTGGAACTGTTAGTGGATGGTTTGTCTACCTGATTAAGTAATGTTAACTGTTCTGGAGGGGGTTGCATTCCCCTAAAGAATTGGCTGCTCTTGGATCCAATATAGTCATTGGTGGCACAAGTGGCATTGGTGGCATGGAACACTTTTTATCATCTTAAGATGATTTATCAGTTACATCTTTAACTGGGCAGAAATTGTCCAGCTACAGTTTTAGTCTTGGCAACATCCATCTGGAATACAAGGCCTTGTACTTTTGAAAGGTCTTTGAAAATGGTCTGGAAACTTTGCAAATTAGGCTTCCCAATTACTGGGGCTTAGATAAGTGTGCATGAAGACTTAGTCTTAAAATAAAATGGGAGAAATACTAGCATCTCAGCTCTGCAGAAGGCAAAAATTGCAAGTGGTTCTGGGTGCTTATGTGCTAACTTGAGCTGAAAATAAGGCTACAGGTGTCCAGACAGGGAGAGAATGAACTGCCTTCTAATTTCAGCCTGCCACTACGGGTTTCTTATCTTTTTCAGTGCCTCCAAAGCTGTAGACTTTCAGTGAAGGGTGGGATGTAAAAGCTTTTAATAAATAGATAGATACACTTGGAGGTAAACTGCAGTGAAGTACAGACTTTGCGTCAAAGGCACAGAACTGAGTATGAGGAATCTCCTGGAACATGGGAAGGGAGCATTTTTTTACCACTTTTGTCTCACATATGATAGATAAAGCTTCAGGTTTGATTAGGTCCTCTGCAAAATGCCCTCCATTCTCCATGTCAGTGGGAACACAGGATGTATGAGGCAGTTGGAAAGAACGGTACTCCTAAGAGTACCAGGCAATTAAAGCCCAAGGAGCTACTCTTAACTTTTTTTTCATAATGGCTGTTATTCTGGGATGTAATGGAAAACTAAAAGTGCTGGATATGTACAAATGGATAATTGTAATCCATTATTATGATTATTATATATTTATATTTATTTATAGGGGCTATAGGGCAGTATTTGGTCAGTGGGTCCTGCCAGGGTGCTGGGACTTTACTGCTTCAGCTCTGCATATTTCTCAGTAAGGCCTTTTGAACATGGTGGGGCTTATTTCTGAGAAAGCACGCTTAAGGCATTGAGGTTTGCATAAAGGTGTCCAATTGTAGCTGTTTGTACAGCCTTTGGGACCATTTCTCAGCCTTTACTTTACATTACATTATGTATACATACATGTGTGCATGAAACAAGCTAGCCACCAGAAGGCTGGAATACTAGGCACACTTCCTAGGCAGAAAACCTCCGTTAACTCAATGAGGCTCCCTTCCGAGTGGACATACATGAGCCAGCAATGCGCGTCCTTAGGGTGACTCAGAACACCCAACCTCCCTTCCTCAGCAACCCGTTAGGGGCAATATCACGCAGCCAAAAAAATCCAGAGCTCTTAGCACGTTCTCTTGGTTGAAAGCAAACCGAGATGCTCTGCACTTTCCTATTGGACAGCGATGATGTAATACGACAGAACATACGGGTATCTTACTCTCTCCTCCCCCGCCCTCCGTCCCGGTAAGTACTTGAGAGAAGGCCGCTCCTGCGCTCAGCCAATCACAGGGAAGACAGTCTATTGTGGCCTTAGAGGTAGAGTGGGGAGGGTGAATAGGTCTTTTTTCAAATACCGCCCTCCTTCTTCCCCCCCTCCCAATTGAACTGCAGGGCTGACGCCTGCGTCCTTGGCTATTTGCGAAGCTATTATGAAGGACGCGGAAGCTAGGTATGATGGACAACCTTTATATCCAATGGTAAGAAAGGTAAAATTGGAAGGGGATAGGAGGAAGTCAGTTTGTGTTTTAGTAAAAGAAAGAACTAGGGGAATTGGGGGGGGGGTTAATTGGCATTTAGTCTAGCCAATGAAATGCCATACTGCAGAGCCTGTGGGGGTTTTTTTTTAATTGCGCATAGGTGAGGACGGTGAAGAGAGTAGATTTAATTGACAGCTTCAGTGACCAATAGCTGCGAAGCTGAGGTAAACGCGTGCATTCAACGGGCATTTGAGGAAATGGTTAAGAAAGTAAGTGGCAAGTAATCGAGCCAATTGAGATGTAGGAAGCGAGAGCCTGTGTGGTAGAGAATCCAATGGAAATGTGGGTAGTAAGATGAGCTGTGAAGGACCGTCGTTGCGACCAATAGAGTTTAACGATTTTTTTTTTTTTAAGGTGCCGGCAGGACTCTATCCTCCGAGGTACTTGTAGGGAGGGGGCGCTCTTCCCCTCCTCCCACCCGGTGCATTCTGACGTTGCGCGGCGGGGAAGGAGGGAGGGCCCAGTAGCGGCCGCTGGGACGGGGGCTCCCAACATGTCGGTGCTGCTGTTTGCGCTTGGGCTGCGGGAGCAGAGGACGGTGGAGGGAGAAGCCGCGGCGTGAGGAGGAGATACTGCTCGAGCTTTAATCTTCCCCGTCGCCTCAGTGAGGGGAGACGGAGGCTGCCTTCGCGCGCGAGCACGGGGCTTTTAACCGAGTGAGGAATCTACGGCCGCAGGTATAGGCCCGAGCCGGCTCCGTCAGAGAAAAAAGCAGAGGGAGGGGGACAGGAGGATCTCGATCGTGTGGATGGGGCCTCGTCGGGCAGGAGGCCTCGAACACATTGAAGAGAGACGCGGGGTGTGGGGAAGAAGATGGCCTGGGCCTGGGCCTGGGCCTGCGCTGGCGTTACGCGGAGCAGCAGTAGCGGGGGCTTCTGCGTAGTGCGTAGTTCGCAGTAAGAGGAGGCGGAATGGCTGGATTTGTGTGTTCTCTTTAAGACTTATGGAGGAGGAGATTTGGCGGACGTCGGGCGGGCTGGGAATCCACCGGCTGGCGGGGTCTCCGATCCTCTGTCTCATGGTTGATTGTGTGGAGTGGGGTTGAAGCAGTGGGTACTCTTCGGGGCGTTCGTGTGAGATGTTCAATTTGGGGCCGGGTGTGTGTGGGGAGTGCAGTTGGAAGAGACTTCAGGGGAAAAAGGTTGGAATATGTGTTGAGGGAAGATTTTCTCGTTTGTTGTCTGAGGGAAAAGAGAAACCTGTGCTCACGGAGGTCCCCAGTTATGCTTGCCCCAGTTTATGTTAGGGTCCCGTTATTTGTGCCTAGGCCAGTGCCCAGAATCTCCCATTTCCAACGTGACGCCCACCCTAACCTGATACGTGCTTGTGTTTTAGTTGCGATCTCTGATCGCCTGGAATCGTTGACTCTGCAGGCCTTTAAGATGAGCTGAAGTGAGAAGTTCTTGTCTCTTGCTCTTAATATAAATTATAGATACTTAAAGGAACCATTTTTATGCTTTAGCTCTAATTAATGTATTTGCATCCAGATTATAGCTTTCATGCTGACATTGTATGTGGCAATTAGAAATATCTGTGGGGACATGTCTATCTCTGGATGGTTGATCGGGGTTCAAATCCTGGCTTACCTTATGAACTTGTTGGTTGTTTACTGTTCCGTGTTTATATATAAATGTTGGTAGCTTTATGCATTAAACATTTGGGCCCTTGAAAGTGAAAACATTATAAATGAAATTATCTTAAATGAAATTTCTCTATAATCTTATACTGCTTTCCATTTGAAAATGGATTAAATGGAAGGCACAATCTTGTTGGTCAGGGTTGAAAAGGGACTGTGATGGATAGGCAGATGGCTGAGATATCTTGACTTACCTCTCAAGAGCATTCCTGTAAAAAATATAGAATAACAAATGGTAACTTGCCTTCAGCCCATGTGCTATTGTGTTGAGGGCAGGGAATTTCTACAGTACTTATGTGCTACTGTATTAGAAAAAAAGAATGGGGACATACTTGCATGCTAAATATTAGATCAGGAATATGATCTTCAATCTGTGTTCATGACCTGTGTGGAAGGATGATCTTTCATTAAGTATATGAGGAGGACCTTTTATGTTCTCAAGGGAGGTTCATATCAGAATAAGCCATATATGCTAAAGCACTTATGATTTTGCAATGGTATCTATCTGATCCATGTATGAATGTAGTTGTAGCCAGGGTATCTGCACAACAGTACTAATGTGTTGTGTGTGGTGGAATCCCAAACCAAAGGGCTTCAGATGCCATGGGAAAGCTGACACATGTGCATGTGGTATATAAATATATATAGCTCAGTGGTTGGGTGCTTTGTCTCCCATGACACAGTCCTTTTATACCCCTGCTGTGTGTGGGATTGGCCATACAAAAAGCCATTAATGGAGGTGGAGTATCCTTATAGCTTGATAGTTAACTAGCATCCTTTGTAAATAACTCAAAAGCAACTCAGGGCACTATCCTTGCTGTGGAGACAGAATAGCTACTCCTCTCATATAAATGCAGTACATGGCTGCATCCCTTTGTAGAATCATAAATTAGTAGAGTTGGAAGGGCCTTATAAGGCCATTAGGTCCAACTCCCTGCTCAGTGCAGAACTCCAAAATAAAACATCCCAGACAGATGGCTGTCCAACTGCCTCTTGAATACCTTCCATGTGGGAGAGCCCACAGCCTCCCTAGGTAATTGGTTCCATTGCCATATTGCTCTAACAGTCAGGAATTTTTTCCTGATGTCTAGCTAGAATCTGTCTTCCTGTAACTTAAGCCCATTATTCCTTGTCCTGCATTTTGGTATGATTGAGAAGAGATCCTAGGCTTCCTATGTGTGACAGCCTTTCAAGTACTTGAAAGTGCTATCACAGTTCTCCTCAGGTTTCTGAAGGCTATACATGCCCAGCTCTTTCAATCTTCCCTCAGAGGGCTTTGTTTCCAGTCCCCTGATTATCTTTGTTGCCCTCCTCTGAACTTTTACCAGTTTGTCTACATTTTTCTTGAAGTATGGTATCCAGATCTGGACACAGTACTTGGGATGGGGCCTAACTAGTGTTGGATAGAGGGGAACCAGCTTATTTTATTTATTTAAAACATTTGTATGCTGCCCAATTGTGCCACAACAGCTCTGGGCTATTCACAACATGAGAAAAACACAATAAAAACATAATAAAAACCATAACACATTAAAAACAACAATAAAATATAAACATACAAACATACAAACAAAGGTTTATGGCAATTAGTTATTGAAATGTTTTTTTAAAAGGAAGGTTTTTGGCTGGTGCCGAAAAGAACTCCAGGAAGGTGCCAGGCGAATCTCCTTGGGGAGAGCGTTCCAAATATGAGGAGTGGCTGCAGAAAAGGCCCTCCTCCTAGCGGCCATCTCTCTCACCTCATGTGATTTAGAAGCAATACTTCTATTAATGGAGCCCAATATAGCATTAGCATTTTCTGCAGCTGCATCACATTGCTGATTCATATTCAGCCTGTGATCCAAGACAGTTCCTGTATCCTTTTCACTTGTAGCATTGTTGAGCCAAGCATCTTCATCTTGTAACTGGGCATCTCTTAGCCTCTTCCTCTCTGTATCCCAAATGCTTTTGTGGTACTGGACTATTTGCATGTGGAACAGCTGTTTTTTCGAACTGCTCTCGACATAACTGTTTCTGTAGTCTTGTAAAATATTTCATGAAAATTGGTTCTGGGTTCAAATGTACCATCAGCCTATAGTTTAAAGAAGCAAGAGTTCACAATCCAACAATAAACTATATGTTCTCTTTATGGGGTAGTTTTGGTTAACTAACTATAGTTTATTAGCATGGCCATATTCATACATTACAGCAACCAAGAATTCAGTCACCCATATCATAACTAACAGTTGCATGTGAACCAGGCTATTCATTCTATATACTAACTTTCTCTCTAGGCTGGCGACTGAGCACCATCTGGTACTACTAAAAGCGGTAGATTTTAGTAGTACCAGATAGGGCAAGTAAAAGCCCTATCTTGTAGTGCTTTTTCTTGCTGTTCCATATTCTGCTTTCTCCTTAAGGGTTAGGGCTAGAATCTATTGCTGCCCATTATCTGGTATATGGACCACTGACTAAGTTGCCACAGTTTGATTTTAGTTTGAGAAGTCAAAGAACAAGGGATGCTAACATCATGGGTACTTCTAAAGATATTAGCAACTTAGGAAGGAGAAGACTGATATTATAGAAGTAACATAGATCAGTTATAAACAAAAGAAAACTTTGGTTGTATAAAGTAACCAAAACTCCTTTTAAATATCTGGAGGTTGTACAGACAAAGTATTGTCCATTTGGCCTTCTTATATCTGCAGTCTTGAGTAATTAAGACTCTGCACTAGAGATGCTTAACCGTCTTGATAATTCTTGATTGTGTATATATTTATTACATATATTTAATAAATATTATGTAAGAATGCCTAGAGCATGTGAATAGAACAGCTGTGGAACTTTGAAGGACTTAGCTTTCCTCCTTGGCCCTTCTTCCTTTATTTCACAGTCCATGTTAAAGCTGAAGCTATTTTTAGTTCTGTTTTTAATCAGTGTTATGATTTATTTGTAACTTCAAAAAGTTTTGTAGATTTCCCAGGCCTTAAAGGCTAGGGAAGGGTTTTACCTCACTTCTGATTAGTCCTCTCTGCTGAAAGCTAGTGAAAGTAGGTAATCTATTGAAACATGAATTCCTTGTTTCTCTGGCATCTCCAGTCACACTTTTTTCCACTGTTGAAATTAAGATTACAAATTCTTTGGTGTAGAAACCATTGTCTTGCTTATGTTACTCTGTAAAACACAGTGTACTTTGGTCGCTTATACATACAGACCTTACAGTGGTTCAGAAAGAGGTTTATTTATTATATTTAGATCCTGTCTTTTTCCTGCAAGGAACTAAAGGCAGCTTGTATAATTTTCTTCTCCATTCTATCATAGCAATTGTGTGAGGTAGTTTAAGATGAGAGTCAGTCACTGACCCATAGTCACTCAATGAGCCTCCTGTCTTAGTGAGGACTAGAATCTGGGTCTCCCAGGTTCCAGCTCAGCACTAACTACTACCCCATGCTGGCTTTGGTGAATTTCTGGGAAAGCAAGTTCTGCAATGACTTGGGTCATGATGCAAGATGTTATTAACAAATGTACTGGTAGAAAGTGTTAGTGGACTAGAATGTATTCATTTGCCTTCACTGAAAAGCTCATTTAATATATATCAAGTAATTTGGGGCTCTGCCTGACTTTTATGGCTGTTTGATAGTTTCAGACAATTATTTGTAGTGTCACTACAGATAAGAAGTTGTAGTGTGATATCTGTAGTTGCAAAGTGAGTTTATCCAGGTGAATTGTGTTTTTATTTTATGGACCTCCTATGTTTCTATGCATTTTTTTTTTTTTTTTTGCTGCTTGAACAGATGCTATACAGAGCCAGCTTTCCCTGTAGTTTAAGCCATTGTATAATGAGTTAAAAGCAGCTATCAGACAGCAAGTTGTCAATAAGACCACTGTTAATGTACCTGGCAAAACCTTCATAGCCTTCATTTGAAAGGGAGCAAAAGGGAATGATATGTTCTTTACTTGTTCAGAAAGAATTAAGCTACATATGAAGAAGCATTTTCATATCAAGCATTTTGTGTGGCTGAGCAAATCACAAAAAGCTATCTTAGTTTCTTCTGTGGTGAC